GAACAAATAGTTCTAAAATTTATATGGAACCACAAAAGACCCTGAATAGCCAAAGCAATCCTGAGAAGGAAGAATAAAGCACGGGGGATTATGCTGCCTGACTTCAAGCTCCACTACAAAGCCACAGTAATCAAGACAGTTTGGTACTAGCCCACAAACAGACCCATAGACCAATGGAAGAGAATAGAGAGCCCTGATATAATCTCAAATATATGGTCAATTAATATACAATAAAGGCGCAATGGATATACAATGGGGAAATGACAGCGTCTTCAACAACTGGTGTTGGCGAAACTGGACAGTTACATGCAAAATAATGAAACTGGATTACTGCCTAACCCCATACACAAAACTAAACTCAAAATGGATCATGAATGTAAGTCATGAAACTCTTAGAAGAAAACATAGGCAAAAATCTCTTGAATATAAACATGAACAACTTTTTCCTGAACACATTTCCTTGGGCAAGGGTAACAAAATAAAAAGTGAACAAATGGGGCTATGTCAAGCTAAAAAGCTTCTGTATGGCAAAAGAAACCATCAGCTGAACTAAAAGGCACCTACAGTATGGGAGAAGATATTTGGAAGTGACATATCTGACAAAATATATAAAGAACTCACACTCCTCAACACCCAAAAGGCAAATAACCCGATTAAAAAATGGGCATAATATATGAACAGACACTTCTCTTAAGAAGAAATTCAGATGGCCAACAGGCACATGAAAAGATGCTCCACATCGCTATTTATCAGGTAAATGCAAATTAAAACCACAATGAGGTATCACCTCATACCAGTTAGGATGGCCAACATCAAAAAGACTAGGAACAACAAATGTTGACGAGGATGCGAAGAAAGGGCAACTCTCCTATGCTGCTGGTGGGAATGTAAAGTTGTTCAACCATTGTGGGAAGCAATATGGAGGTTCCTCAAAAACCTAAAAATAGACATACCATTTGACCCAGGAATTCCACTCTTAGGAATTTACCCTAAGAAAATAAGTTCTCAAATTCAAAAAGACATATGCACCCCTATATTTATTGCAGCACTATTTACAATAGCCATGATATGGAAGCAACTTAAGTGTCCATCAGTAGATGAATGGATAAAGAAGAGGTGGTACATCTACACAATCCTATTCAGCGATAAGAAAGAAAAAAATCCTACCATTTGCAACAACATGGATGGAGCTGGAGGGTATTATGCTCAGTGAAATAAATCCGGCAGAGAAAGACAAAAATCAAATGATTTCCCTGATTTTTGGAATATAACAGTGAAGCAAAAACTGAAGGAACAAAACACCGTCAGACTCACAGACTCCAAGAAGGGACTAGCAGTTACCAAAGGCGAGGGGTGGGCTAGGGCAGGTGGCGAGGGAGGGCGAAGGGGATTGTGGGAAATCATGATTAGTGTACATGGTGTGTGTTGGGTCATGGGAAATACAGTGTAGCACAGAGAAGAGAAGTAGGGACTTTGTGGCATCTTACTACTCTGATAGACAGTGACTGCAATGGGGTGTGGGAAGGGACTCAATAATAAGGGTGAATGTAGTAACCACATTGTTTTTCTTGTGAAACCTTTACAAGAGTGTATATTAATGGTACCTCAATAAAAAAATATATAGGTTATGGTAATACAACTACAAGTGCACAGGCATAAATTGATTTGCAAATAAATATGAGTTTCAGAGATCATTCTCTTTATGTTCTTGGTCTGAGTTATATGTCCCTTCTCTAAATCCTCATATCATGATAGCATGAGCAATAGGAGATAAAGTAGGTAGATTCTGTAAATCAAATAGGGCCATGTAGGCCATGGTGAGAAATTTGAAATTCTACAAACAATGAGAAGTACTTGGAGAATGTAAAGGAGTAGAGTGATTCATTTTTTAAATTCCTCTTTTAAAATATCCTTATGATGGTGTGGAAAAAAATTTTGGAGGAGAAAGAAAGGAACCAGGATAATATTCACTGCACAGCACTGGTAAGAAGATTTGGGATATATTTTGGAGGTAGAGTTACCAAGACTTGCTGATGGACTGGATAAAGAAAGTAAGGAGTTTTGGAACTTGAGCACTCAGGGGAATAGAAATAAATGGCACTTACTGGGATGAGGTAGACTGGAGGGGGATATGTTTGGATGGGGAAATGAACCATTCTGTTCTAGTCATGTTAAGGTTGAAAAAGATTAGCTAGCAGAGAGGAGATGTTAAAAGATAGTTAAGTAGGTATCTGGTTGGATATGTGAGCTTGAAGTTCAGCAAAAATGCCAAGGCTGGAGAGATTAATTTGTCCTTTTATTAGTTCCTTTGACTTCAACCTTAAACTTCTATTTCTTGTTTCATCTACTTCAGGTGGTATCTCTTGAGTACTTATATGTTAAATAACTAGCATCCATTTACATTCCATCTTCTGTCAACTATATATTTACTTTTCTTGTTCAGGGTGATAACAATTCTGTTCTGTAACTTTTAAATTGTCCCTATTGTGTCTATAGATTGATGCTAAAACTTGAAAACTATGAAATAGCATTTATAATATAATTATATGGCTTTTGTCCACTTAAGGAAGATATTGTGCTAGGACTACATTTCTTTCTCAATGGGTCCCATACCCAGTACCACTTGAAAAACAATGGTTGTAGTATCCATGTCAAAGAAATCCTCATGTAGGTTAAATTATTTTCCCTGAAAACTTTGAAGACGTTGATTCCATTGTGCATCTTGCACCAGTGCTACTTGTAGATTCCCTATTGATTCTTATTCCTCAGATGACTTTCTTTCTCTTTATGGAAACCTCTAGAATCTTCTCTTTATAATTGCTTTGCAATTTCATAATGTGTAGGTTTGTATCTTTTTTCCATTCATAATTGAAAGCACTCATTAGACCCTTTCAATACATCTCTTTTATATTGGGAAACATTATTATTCAAGAGGCTATGTAGACTACTGGTCATAATCATGAGTACTGAAGTCAAACTATCTGAGTTCATATACCAATTATTTGCTGTGTAGCCTTGGGCAAGTTATTTAAACTCTGTGCTTGCTTTCTCATATGAAAACTGAGGGTATTAATAGTATTATTATACTATTATATTACACTGAGTGTGACAGTTGAATGAGTAAATATTTAGAAGGTTCTGTAAAGTGTCTGACAAATAGTTATGTGTTCAATAAGCGTTATGTGTTGATAGTTATCACACCTTCAGTTTTACTCTTTTCATTTCTGGATCTCTAGAAAATTTGGACCTTCCAGACTGATTCTCCATTTTCCTGTTATTCTCTCATATTTGTTAGCTTGTTATTGTTTTATGTTCTCTAATATTGCCTTGAGTTTATCCTCCAAACCTTCATAAAAAGATAATTTCCCATAATTCTAACATTTGATTGTCCATTCATAAGTGAATATGATAGGAATCCAGCTTGAATTACTAAAAAGTAATTGGTGAGATGGTTGACATCTGGCTAAGACATTGGGCTCTGGTGGTCTTAATGCTGGGCTAGGGTAAAGTGGTCATGACTGAGCAGTTATTTAAGAGAGAGACTATCAAGTAACCCTCCGATTCTCGCCTCCCAACTTTATTCTTGCCTTCGGCTATGCCTGCTGACTGGACCAACAGCTGCTTTGGTTCTTTTCAGGCAGATTGGCTCTTCTTTGCTGCAGCTCCTATATATTGTAGGGTATTGCTTCTTTGCTCTCTTTTATCCATGAATAAGCTTTCATTCCTTCCTACATTTCAGAAGGTTCTTCCTTTCATTTTCCTCCTCTTTATATTTTGATGACTTCACTATCATTTAATAGTGTCTTGGGAGGCAGGGGATTTAGATGTTTGTGCTTAGTCTACCATCTGGAATCAGAAGTGGAAACTTTTATTACTTTTCTAAATGAGAGGCCACTGTTATATATTATCTAACAGTTAGCCCTCTCCATTAACTACCAACACTTGAGATGGAAATCATGCCGAATATGAACATTTTCTAATGTCCTGATTTCCAATCTACCTGCCCTTTGCATATTTAACTAGACTGAAAAATCACATGGCCAGAAGGTTATAAGTGAGGAACTGATGACCTCCAAGTGTAATCCTTCATTGTCTACTGTTGTGAACTAAAAAGTTAAGAAAATTAATTGAAGTTATTATTGTTAATTAAGAAAATTCTCTGAAGTTTAGCTTATGAAGTTTTACATGGGTTAAAGAATGGGGACTCAATAAATACATTTTGGTTTTGTCTTGATCCTGCACTTTTTTAAGACTTGTAAATCCTATTCTAGAACTAGAGATGACCAGGACATGGATTTGGAAACAGATACAACTTGAATAAATGTGGAATACTTAGTTTTTCATAATGACATTGCTAGATAAAATACATTTTAGATCTGAAAATGTCTTAATAGTCTATGTAATAGTATTTCCTACATTGTTCTGTGGCATACCAGTCACATGAGAAGATCTCCTGAATAAAGGGTAATGTGGTCAATGAAGTGGGGAAGCATAGGATTCTTTATTCCTCTTCTTGAAAGTTCATTATGCTTAAGCTTAGCATAAGAGTTTTAAGAGTTCAATAGTTTTAAAAATGTTTAACTTTATAAATACAATTTTTGCAAAATTTATTGACCACTTCCTCTGTGTGTGTCTATAAATATCATAAAAAACTAGTGTCCCTTAGAGTACACTTTGAGATATACTGCCACATGGTGTTGTTTTAGTAGTCAGAATATTTAAAATTTTGTGGCAATAATAATGAGCAGAATCCTACTAAGTTTTTTACTTAGAGTCTGGTGATCAGTATAATTTTTATTATGTTATGTTAAGTGTTTGAAGAGAAGCTGTCCACCAAGAAAGAATAAAGAACAAACTTGTCAAAGGCTGAACTTGCTGTATATATATTTTCAATTCTTGAAAAATGTTTTCTAGAGGTGCCAGTATATCTAATACATCTTAATTAGACAGCAGTAACTTGAGAGAATGGAAAAAAAAGGTTTGATCACAGGTAACCTTACCTATTCCACAAGAAGGCTTTTGCCACTTGCTGTGTTTGATTGGTAAAACCAATGGACATGTTGATTTTTTAAAGTCACTCCTCTGGGTGCTTTTAGTGTCATAAGGTGGTTGGAAGGGATGCTCCAGGTCTTTACCATGTGACCACCAGTCACCCTTTATGGAAAAAAATTGGATACTTTAGAAATTTTCATGTACCGCTTAATGTCTGTGAATGTTCAGTAATTCAGTTCAAGTTATTGACTATTCTAGTGCTAATATAGAGTTCTGAAATCTAGGAATAAAAATATTTTCACAGAGACTGAATTAAAAGACACCTAAAAATGTATTATAATATACATTTAGCTAAAATACAGCTGCTGAATTCTTTGCTTTTATCAACAGAGTGGTAAAAATCAACAAGATAGTTATACTTTTGTGTTTTACATTACAATTTTTTATATATGTACACATGTATGTATATATTAAACATGATTTAATCTAAATAATTATGTTCTATACTTTTCATTATGGCAATACAAATAATGTATAATCCTCTATGATGGTGGTTTTCAAAGTTTTTAGTCCATGACCCATATCATGAAATATATTTTATGTCATGCAAGAGCACACAATGCATATAGATAAATAAAAGTTTCACAATAATAGATGCAGTGCATTTGGCTATTTTTCTACTCTTTTTTTATTGATACTTTATTTTATTCAAAATGCTGGTTGCAACCCATATTGACTTATATATAACTCACTAATTACTCATTTGAAAAACTGCTCTAAGATGAACTATCTCTGATAATTCTGAATTTTTTATAGTAAATCCTAATTTACATACACACGAGGAAGAACTGATAGATTTTTCATTAGCATATATGACATTTTGATGTTTTAGAAGTTGAGAAAGCAGTGAGGGAAATTGTTACTCCACTTAATTCTGACCAAGTTTTTTTAAAAATCTGGCTTATCAGGTGAAAGTATGAGAACCTTGAGAGAAGGCAACGGTGATACCTAGGAGTTCTTGGGTATTACTAGATAATGAAAGTAACCTTGGGCATAATCAAACCCCTACCTTGGCTATAAGGAAGGAGATGAGCCTTTTAAAAAATCAACTATCATTCCCTAGTCAAAGACCATAAAAATATGACCTAAGGTGGATAAATATGAGATTCTAGTAAGTAAAGTTCTGAAAATGTAATTGAAGCTATGTTGATATAAAAAGTAAGAGGCATCTAAAGAAACCTTTGTGACTGCATAGGGAGTTAGCTCTTTAATGAGCTTAGTAGAGACAGGCATGTGTAAAAGAGGTGCACAATATCAAATTCAAAAAAAAATTTAATGGAGTCAACTTCTTAGGAGATTGTCAAGAAATTTAGAAAGAAATTCAGTTTAACAAAGCAGCAAAAAATAATGCTTTCTGGGAAAAAAATCTGTAGTAGCAAGGAATCAAGAAGAATTTGGAGAAGGTTACACTGAACAGAGATGAAAGTCAGAGCTACCCTAATTTCGGTTCTTTGTTATGAGAAATTATCTTCAGACATCCTGAAAAAGACAGGATGAGCATGAACCAGAGAGGAAACTAAACCCTGAATAATTGGAGAGTTAAACCTCACTTTGCAACTTTAAATGATTACCAGTTTATAGGCCAATAATTGTATCCAGGAGTAATGTAATCTTAACCAGGAGTAATGAATAAGTTTGCAGAGATCAAAGAAATTTAGAAACTAGGGAATTTTGGAGGAGAGATGAGCTAGTGCTTCATTTTTCAGAATGAGCTAAAAGGTGAATTACAAAAATTAAGACTGCTTGACGTAGATCCTGGCCATTCTAGAACAGATTACTTAACAGATGGTGTCTTTTATCTGGCTGAAAATAGTCTTGTCTTACTGTTGTCAGAGTGCTTGCTTCTTGGAGCTCTTCTCTACTCCATGATTATGATAGTGCTTATTGTGCCTCAAGATCTAGGATTCATAGGCATTCTTGGTTATTCTCACCACAATTCTTAGAGGTAGGTACACTCACTTTACAGATTAACTTCCCCTAGGCGTATCACTAGTGGGCAGCAGAGCTGCCACAATTCAAACCCCCCACCTATCTCTGCATGCTTCTAATTTCTGTATACTGTTATATCAAATGTGCTGTGCAATGCAAAGCCAGGTAATCACAAACTTACTTAAATTATTTCAAAAGTAAAAAAAGAGGCTCTTAATAAGTATCCTGAGAAAGATCTTCTATGGTAAGGTTTTAAGGAGTACACTTTGTACTTTCTTCTTTTGTTTATCAGAAACTTGTTTTCCTAACACCCAAGTTACTGGGAAGTGACTGGGATAAGTGAACCTCTAGGAAACGCCTGGCAGACTTCAGCTTTTTCTTAAACAAGAATGTAATGCAAAACCTATCCTTAAAGGAGAATATTAATTCACCTTTCAAGAAGGTTTCTTTTGAACTAGAACTTGACCAAAATGACTTCTTTAGTTTCACAAGTATAAAGGAAATAATGAACAAATTTTCCTAAAGTGTGATTGATGACTTTAAGACCCTCTAGTTGGAAAAAGTGTTCTGATTAGTATTATAAATTGGATGAATTTTCACTTCAAAATGAAATCCTACAGTTCAAAAATGTTTTCATCTTTTGTATTTCGGATAGTTTTGCCCTATGCCTGAAAAGTTTGATTTGTTCCTGGAAGAGCCAGAGCATGTATATGTCCCTGTCCAGGTGCATGCCATTTTGGCCTGAGCATTGTTCATAAAAGATTTTAAGATGAAAGATATAAAGGGAAGCTTGTTTTTATCTTCACCTCATGCTGAAAGGAAAGACTAAGAATAAAAATTCACTTCCCTGTGTACCATCACTTACATTGGTTGTGAGGGGTTCACATGGAGTTACCTAGAATGAAAAGCCAAACTGGGAAAAGTCCTCTACTATGATTGCTCTGTCTAGGCTTCTTGTAGATTGTGGAGTGGATTTTACCTAAAGAGATAGTTGTTCCCAGTTCAAAACTTTGGACCCAGAGAAAGGAGGACATCTCCCCTTCTAGTACAAGGCTTGTCTGCTGTCCCGTGACAGGATGACAGTCACTGGGGCTTCATGATAGGGAGATGTCTGGAGATTCCTAATGGTAAAGCTCCCTGACTTTATAGCCATTGCACTCTGGACCATATATGGAAACTACTGTGATGCAATCTTTATGTTATACCTCTGTTATCCCTAAGCCTTCAGACATGCATGAGTTGACATTACTAGTTTTCATGGGAAGTGACTAAGCTAAAGTTCCTTTTTACTATTTCTAGCACTCCCAATTTTATGTCTCTAGGTATACCTGTATAAGTGATCTTTATTTTTTTTTACTCTTATTTTAAAACCAGCAATACTATAAACCAGTTTATTTTTTAAAAACCATCCCAGCCTTTAAAGAAACCTGTCATCTTAAAAAAAAGAACAAAGTTTACAAATATGTGAAATGAGCATTCTTTATTACTCTTTGAGTACTTTGACATGGATATATTTAAGGCTTTTGTTGTTTTTTAAATATGAACATTTTCTTTACTTCATGCCCAAATTAAACATGCTTTAAGTCTGTACTCCATCCTCAGTGTTTCCTTATAACTCCTCCTTCATATCCATGGTCAGCCTCTCTTACCTTTCCTCTTAATTTCAAACTTACTTTCACCATCTCATAAAGGACTCTAGCTTTCAGCACTAATAAACAAAGATGCTACTGCTACCCCATCAGCCATTCTGGCTGACAGCAGCTAACACTTTTGTTCACTTACTTTTCTCAAAACACCTACAAACTAAAAGAGAAAATTAGTTGGATTAATTTTCAAAATGTTTATGTTTTATATTTCTATTCTTGAACCACCTTTTTTTCCCTAGCATCTAAAAGGTAAGGATGGGTTCTGCTAACAGTGCAGTTTAAATTCAGCCCTGAAGTAGAGCTCAGGGGAGTCATTCATCAACTTTTGGAAGAAAGATGAGATCTTCACTAACCTGGATTTCTCTACTAGACTTACTCCCCAGTGTAGGCCTGGACTATCAATTTCTTTGAAATCGCCAGTAATTATTTACAAAACAAAATAGTTTAAAACTGCCCTTGTAAGAGTTTATTACATGATTATTAAAGCATATCTGACTACAGGAATTCCTTCCCCAAGATTTCACATTCACACACAATCATGGTGTGCTGTTTTATGACAAGAACAGTTGATGTCATCTGTGCAACAACAGCATTCACTAAAAGCAATCTCTATTTAAATGTTAAGCTAAATAGAACTACACCTCACTGTACATGGCAAAAGAGACTTTGTAGCTATGATTAAATTAAGGATCTTGAGAAGGGGAGATTATGCAGGATGTTTAGGTGGGCCCAGAGCAGTCACAGGGGACCTTAGAAGAGGGAGGCAAGAGAGTCAGTCAGAGAGATTGGAAGATGCTGTGAGGCTTTGAAGAGGAAGGGGCCATGAGTCAAGGAGCACAGGCAGACTGCAGAAGCTGGAAAAGGAACCAGTCCTGCCAGAAGCCTGTAAGACTGAGCTCCAGACTTCTAAGCTCCGGAACTATTAATAAATTTGTGTTGCTTTAAGCAAGTGTTTACATTTATAGTAATTTGTAACAACAGCAAAATGAAACTAACACAATAAATTATACCTCAACAAATCTGACATCAAAAATGTTAATGGAATATATCTATTATGATAATGGAATATATCTATTATGATAATAATTAATGGAATATATCTATTAAGATAATAAAAGTGTGATTTGGTTACACCAGCAATTCTGGGTCAGAAACAAAACAGTGACACTTACCCACTATGTAATCTCAGGTTTGTTAATTTACTTCTTTGGAGTAAGTTTTCTATAAAATATTTCAACAAGAAATTGTGCAGATTAAAGGATATAACAATGTAAAACAGCTTATTTCTAGCACTTCATACCCTTTCAATAGATGGTAGCTAAAATGTGATAGAAAGTCTGAGTTACTGAGTATCATGGGAAATTTTTATATTAGAGTATGTGTCACAAATACAATAGAGATTTCTTCAGTAACCCCAAAGCACTGCTGAGTGGTTAATCTCTGACCCACTCTAGAAAATGATTATATATATATATATGTATGTTTTATACACACAGTTTGTTTTCAAAAGTTTTCTGCAAAAATAGTTCCAGGTTACTGTTTTTAACTATTGGATTATAAAAAGTATTAGTATGAGATATGTCATATCCTTTAAGTAGTCTGTGACCAAATAATCATGCAAAACAGCTTCTGAATATAAATCTACATTTGTATTTAACAAACATCTGTCCAACCTGCTCTTCCGGCCCTTTTTTGGGATCTATGTAGGGAACTGGTTCATTGAATGTTCTTGCATTTGTGTTAATGAATTTAGCATAATACACACGTCCTCTCCGAACTGAATGTTGTATACTTTTTCCAGGATTTTTTTCATGTTTGATTTCTTCTTTTTTTTCAGTTACATGCATTATATGAACATGCTGTCTGAAAAACAGAATTAAATAGTAAATCATTTATCCCAATGAGTATTTCATATGAGAGGCCATTTCATATGAAATGATCATAATTACAAAAAATAAGATTTAAATATATTTCGATGACCAGTCAAGACAATTTAGGCTTTACTTATAAAGGGCTTGTGGTGCTAAAATTTGGGAGGGTTTCTCATTATTCTAAATCATATAAGAGATAAAGGGACTTGTATTAATAATATTCATTGTAATATACCAGTGCAGTGTACAGACTTTCATTTGCTGAGAGTAAAGAAAGAGTAATGATTTAATCATGGTTACAAATCATGTTTGCAGTATTTATTCATGTGGCTAAATCACATGCTCATCTTAACTCATCTTTTTTAAAAGTTACTTGGTAAATTCAGCCATCTAGAAGACAAGGACAACTATTAAAAGCTTCTCTGGCAAACTTATAAGAGATACCGAATGACCACTATTGATTATGTTTTCAGGAATAGATCTCTGCAGGCTCCAATACAATCAATTCAATTTCTTACCACTTTTTGCTTCTAAAAATTACACTGGTATAAAGGTGAAAATTATTGAATTTTTAAAAAATGTTAATATTTAGAAAGCGTTTATAGAACTTACCTTCTGTTAAATAAGCAACAGACATAAAAAGTGGTATTTTAGAATTTCATACTTGAAAAATAATGGTAAGAATAAATATATAAATGTGAATACTTTTTACACAGAAGCTGTTAAAATCAAAACCCTGACCCATGGGAAGTTTGTAAATAAGAAGCCCAGTTTACAGAGAAAGTGAGTAGTTCTGTTGAACATTGTACATTGCCCTTCAAATATATCCCCTACCTTACTTCAAACCAAAGCCAGGGCCATCTCTTCTATCATGTCATTTTATAATAAAATATTTCCTCCTTATTGTAGTTCTAAGGCCCTGTGTGACTGCCCTGGCTGATCTTTTCAGCTGTACACAGGCCTCTCTCCCCTCACTTCTCCAGCCAGCCTGCCTTCTTTCAGTGCCTGGAGCACGCCAGTCTTTTCCCTGTGGGGCATTTGCACATGTTGTTCTTTCTGACTAGGCAGCTCTTCCCCAGCTTCCTGCACAGCTAGTGCGTTATCATTTTTATCAGCTTTAAAGTCATCTCCTCAGAAGCTTTCCCTAGATCACTCCCTCCACCCCCCATGTAATCCATATTTTAGTACTTATTTCTTTCATAACACTTACTGCAATTCATAATTTATGTACCTAGTTTTTTGTTTACTTGTTTTTGTTACATATTAGAAGTACCTTTTACTAGTCAGTAAGTTCAGTGAAGGTGAAGATGGTGTTCCATTCATCGTTATGTACCCACCATGTTACAAGAGTTCTGTTCGTCACAGGTAAATGGATTGCCATTATAATATTTACATATTTCTGGTGAATCTATTGGAATTGTTTTTACTCTGGCTTTGTTTTAGCTATATACTCCCAACCCTCACTCCAATAGCTGTATAAACAACACTCAGCACCCTTGGATTCTAGTTCCCTGCATACCAATAGGATTTGGAAAAACTGATTAGTGGTAAAGTATAAATAACTTTTAAGGCTTTTTCTATTACCTTTCCAGAGTATTTACTTAAAAGTTATGATTGATTTTTCACTGCAGATTACTGACATCAGTTTTTTCCATCTGCTTCTCCTGTAACCCAGCAATACACTTACACTGGAATCAGTCCTTGAAGGAAAGAGCTGTGGCTATTTGCTTGCATACTTTCACATTCATTTGATTAAGTATTTGTGGTGTGAGTGACTATAGATAGATATATATATAAGTGAAATATATGATTCTATAATAATGTTTTACTAGAAGGAGAATGCAAAAACACTAATGGGCTCTGAAGTAACTCAGACCTGGGTTGGAATCCCACCTTTGCCACTTAATATTTAAGTCTTGTTTCCTTATCTGCATGGTAAGAGCAATAATACCTTTTGTGAGAGATGTCAGAAGAACATTGAGTAATTCATTCTTTCAACAGATATTTATTGAATTATGTGCCTGGTGCTATTTGATGCACTGAGGATACAAGAGTGACAAAACAAAAATTCCTGCCCTCACAGAGCTTACATTCTAGTGGGAGAAGGCATATGAGAAATAAAATAGTAAATAAAATATATATTCCATTAGATGGTGTTAAGTGCTAAAGACAAAAATAAAGCAGGGAATGGGGAAAGGCATGCATGTATATAGAAGATAGGTTGCATTTTAGATAGGGTGGAGGCTGCATTATGATGAAGGCGGCTACTGAAAAACGACAGGAAAGAGGATAGCTAGCTAAGTGGTTATTTGAGGAAAAGTATCCCAGCAGAGTGAACTTTAATTGCCAAAGCTTTGCAGCAGAAGCACCCTTCCTTAGAACAGTGCTTCTCCGAGTGTGGTCCCTGCCGCACTGACACCAGTTCTTGTTAGAAATACCAATTCACTGACTCCATTCCAACCTTCTAAATCATAACCTCTGGTCCAGAGTGACAAAAAACTGCTCTAACTAGCTCTTAGTTCATTCTATTTTATGTTAAAGTTTGAGAACCACTGTTCTAGTGACAAAAATACAGGCCTTGGAAATAGATACTCCTGGCTCTACATCGTAATGAATCGTTAACATCTTGATTCAGTAGTTCTTGAAATTTAGGGTACATCAGAATCACCTGGACGCCTTGTAAAGCCCAGATTACTATGCCCTACTCTCAGAGTTTCTAATTTGCTGTGTGTATGGTACGGAACCCGCAAAAATTTGCAGTTTCATAAGTCCCCAGGTGACGCTGGTGCTGGTCTGGGCACCACACTTTGAGAATCATTACAGATGAGAGCAGTGAGCCTGTGTTGGGGTACAATGGAGGCAGTGAGCAAGCCGCAGAGATCGATAGGGAAAAAGGGCACGTTGCACAGGCCTCATAGGTCATTGCAGGAGCCTTAGCTTTACTCTGCAATGGAGAACGTGCTCTAACATGCTGCAACCACTCTTGCGTGCTGTGTTGAAGAGGCTGTAGGGGCAAGGGGTGCCCAAACCCTCCTCCAGTATCCAGGTAAGAGACACTGGTGGCTGGGCCAGGGCGGGGATGAGCGCGGGTATTCTGGATAGATACTTAACGGTAAAGCTTACAGAATTTACCAGTACATGAGATGTGGGGTGTAAGTGAATGATTCAAGATGACTTAAAATTTTAGGCCAGGCCCTGCATGTTGAGTGATTGATACCCAGTAAGTGCCCAGTAAAGAGGTCGTTTTAAAATATTATGGTAAGCCCTCAACTAGTAGAAATTACTGGAAGTGGACTGAAGAGGAAAAGCGTTGGGGGCGTTTGGACCCAACCCTCGAGTCTCACCTAACGCTGCCCTGAAGGAGGAAACTATTTTTCGTTGGAGGAAATAGAAAACCCACCCGGAGCACTTACTGCTGCTTATCCTCCGTTCCCTCCATGGGCTCCTAGGGCCTGACGCGAGACCGCGGGGAGCCTCACGGGAAGATCAGGGACTGAGCCGGGAAAGGAGAGCGCGCGGAGACCCGCGACTGTGACTCGGCAGTTGCTAAGCGACGGCGGCCCCGGACGCGCGGCCCGCGCAGGCGGCGTGGGGGCGGGACCCGGGGTGCGCAGGCGTATTAACCCGAGCCGGCTCGCTGCCGGCTACTCTGTCAGCGCTGCGGGTGGGGCCGGCTAGCAGGTTTTCTCCGCTTCTTTCAGGCCCGCCCTAGGCTGGACACCCTGCGTTTAAACTTGGCCTTCCCCTATCCGGCCGGGTGGAGTTCCTGTCAGGGCCCACGCGGTCCTTAGGGATCAGCAAAGGGCGGTTCCCGGAGCCTCTCCCGCGGCACTGGTGGTTCTGGGGGCCGCGCTGCTGGCGTCCCCTCAGCTCGCGCCCACCAGATCTGTCAGGACGCTGCCGGCATAGCCCACGTCTGCCGAAGCTGGCTGCAAAAGTGCAGGCGAGCAGGAGAGAAACTTGCTTTCCCATGAACCATTAAATAGTGTGCAGGTCGTGATTCGCTGCTGCTGCGTTGATTGGTCTTTGCATGAGAAAGCTTGGCTGTCGTTATTCTCTATTATTTCTGACAAATCCTCCCATCTCGGCCTGGTGGCAATTATTAACTCAGAGCAAAGGAACACACATCCCCTGCAAATGAGGTTCCCCGCGGTGTGTGCATCTGCTCCAGCCTGAGCAGGGTCCAGAATCGGGTGGAGGGGACTGGACTATGGCAACAGGTTGGGGCTTGTTTGTGCAGAACTTACCCAAAAAAAAGCAAGCTTCTAGGAAAAACAGTTGATGACTTGTGGCCACTTTCTGGCCCTGGGCTTTTGTACCTCATTTCACCATTGCTTCCTAGTTTCTACTACCAGTGACAAATGCTTTTGGCATCTGTCTCAGTAACTTATTTCCGTAAATAATGGGAAAAGAAAAATCCTCATTGAATTCTGCTATGTATATGGCTATGCACGTGCAATAACCCAGAGTATTAGTATGTGTTTACATTTACCTGGAGAAGTGTTAATGAGTGGAGGTTGGTCTTAGGACTCAGTGTATGTGAGCTTAAATCCTAAGAAGTAGTATGTGAAGAGAAGGAAGTTTGATACCTAGTTACTTAGATGCCTGAGTGTGGAACTTGTTGGCAAAAAGACTGGAGTGTGTGAATGTGTGGTTATAGGTATGTGAGTTTGGGGAGTAAGGAGTGGGTGGGTAGATAAGGGGAGAATGTGTTGGAAACCCAAAAGTAGAGGAACTAGCAATTGAGCTTCTGCAAGAGTCAGACATTTATCAGAATAATACTAAACACCATATACTTAACTGTTTTTGTTTCTAAACTATCAAACTAATTAGGAGTATACGCCTTGGGTTCAGCATTCAAATCCTGGTTCTTCAACTTATTAGCTGGTTTAGTTGGGCAAGTGATCTAACCTCTCTGAGCCTGAGTTTCTCCACAAAATGGTAAAAAAAAAATGGTGATTTAATACAGGCAGGGTACTGAGAGGAGGACTAGCCACGCAGAAGTTCTGGGCCATTGTTGAGCAATTTGATGTGGGTATGCTGCTGCACTCTTAAGGCTGAATCAGTATTCATCATTCCCTCTAGTTTCTATGCTAGCCTTCACCAGTCTCTTTCAGCTCCTAAAACCACTCACCCTCAGACCAAATCCCCATTGCTTCTTGAAAAGGAATGAGGATTTTTTTCAACTTTCTCACTCTCAAAACAACATATTAAAAAGCCTGCCATCTATACAGGATGACAGCTGTTTGGTTCTATCTTGCATAGTATTAATCTAAAATAAAAATATATTTATGTCAATCTCTTTCCAACTGCTGAGCAGTTCATATATGTGTATATTTATTAAGGGATATAAGAAACATTTAAAAAATATATGCTTACTACAAGGAAACCACAATCTAGTTAGGGATACAAGACATGGGAAAAAGTTATGAACAGTACTGAGACATAGTGTCATTATATAACTGATAATCACAGTAGTGATGATGATACAGTATTATAAAACTAATCATTTATTATTGGTACATCCTCTGCAAGGCACTGCAAAATAATGTGGATTTCCTAATAACTATTGACTTTTTTATATAGGAAAAAGCACTGGATTGCTGTTACTTTTTTTATTGCTAAGTAGCTAATCTGATTTAGGAAAGGTACTTAAACCTCTTTTTTTGCAGATTCTCACTTGTAAAAAGAGGTAGTCAGGTTACATCAACTTTATGATCCCTTCCATCTATAAAATATAGTGATTCTATTGGAAAGTTTATGTCTGAAAATCAGTGAACACTATAGCTTAAATAATGCATGTAATTGTCTCATTTGTGTTAGGTAGTTTGGAATCTTGTCAGTGAAGAATAATTCAAAGTGGTATACTAATATTGTGCAAGTTAAAAATAACAGTGCTTTTTGAGCTGGAATACCCACCAGATGTTAAGAAACAAAATAAGATGGAAATTGCTTGTCCAAAATGTTATAGGTGCAGAAAATTGTCAAGACTATTTTTCTAACTATAGGAAAGTGTTCCAAATAATGACGGTATGGTTGTATAAGCTGATGGGAAAGCTAAGGCTCAGGAAGATCCAGCTTCCTCTCAGTTCTTTACAATGATGTGATACATGTAAGGATTTCAAGAATATGGCATAAAGCCAAAGCTATCTTTAGTTCTGTTTTTTTTGTTTGTTGTTTGAAGATAGTATATTTGCCTCATATACATGTGTTGTAAGGATTAAATGAGAAAATACCTGCAGAAAACTTGTCATGGCACATAGTAAGCACTCACTAAAAGTTGGCTGTTAGTATTCTTCCTGTTTTTCTAAGTAGGGCAGAAGTTCATCAAGTCCAGTATTACATTGTCTTTATTTCATTACCTTTAGACAATAAGAATTCAAACCAAAATGCTCATTAATTTGAGGGGACTGAGATATGTTAGTGTTAGGTTTGCCTATCCTTGAAGTTGGATAGGTTCAAATGAATTACAGATATGGAAGGGACTCCCAAGTTTTCTTCTGGCCTAAGTTCAAAGCTAATTGATTCATGTCACACTTTTAAGAAAGAGGTTACAAGACAAGTATGAGGTATTACATCTCCCAAAAAAGTCAGTCTCGGGTATAAATCAATTATCACTTTGATATAGTTAATCCTGGATCTATGCATGGGTTTGTTTATATTTATTCATAGAGATGTGTAAATGAAAATCTTAAAAATTGTGTGAAATTTCTTGAAATACCCAAAACAATTATAGGCAGCCTGGGTTACTCCAAAATCATTGTTAGAAATCACTAGTTTGGCAGTTTACCTGATGGAAAGAAAAAACCTTATTTTATGAATTTGAAGGGTCTTAGCCATCTCAATAATTTCATGATACAAGTTTTATTTTGAAATAATCCAACTATGGTTGCCCATAGCTGTATAATCAAAGGACAAATGAAAAGCTGATCATAAGTGTTTAAAACAATAAAGGCCCATTTTGGTACTAGAGTGGTATCTTACAGTGATCATGTGGTAAAGATTTGTTGAATGAATAGTTATGGACATAAAAATTTTTGAGAAAGGAGCAAAGCAAAATGTAACATGGTTTCGGTGTTACCATTCTCAGAAAGTTAGGAGTCAGTAGTCTAAGCTGTCTAGTTTTGGTGGGTTTCTGTGTCTTCTAATTCTTTTTAGGGCTGTTCTGACTCTATTTGAAGAATTCCAGAGATGCAATCATCTTCCTTGCAGGTCATTAGCATATTTTATTATCTAATTCTTGAGCAATCCAACATATATTGAGTACCTTGTATGTTCTGGTCTATTCTCACTGGACCATGAGACATTTATTCATTTGAGATTTTTTGTGCCTAGAAAAGTACCTTGCAAACAATAGGCCCTATAAATGAGATAGACCCAAATAAATTCTTCCTTACATCCTAGAAAATATATACTACTTTAAATTTTCAAGTGTCTTTCATGGACACAGATAATAAATGTTCAACAAACTCCTTAGGGAATCTCCGCATCTTAAAAATGGTAATTAAAACTACCTTTTAAAAGAAGCAGTTTAAGTTCTTCAACTTCTGCCCATAAAATCTGCCTTGATCCCTTTGATGATACAAATTGCTATCCTTTGTACTTTCCCTGGGGGAGAACTCCATTTAGAACTTCAGAGTTAGACCTGAGTTTAAGTCCTACCTCTGTTAGAAAGCTCTGTGACTCTGATAAGTTATTTAAATTCACTCTTGTTACGCTGTAAAACATAAACGAATAAGACAAGGCCCCAAAAGAGTAGAGGTAAAAGAATTTATCTTGCAGGGTTATTGTATTAAATAGATATGTGTAAAATACCTGGAACAAAATAAGCATGCAATAAGTATTATTCCCACCCTCCATCCTTAACCCTTGTCAAAGGTCACCCAGCTAGAAAGTGATACAGCTAGCATTTGTTTTTAGACTAGTCTCTCTCTTTCCTCATTGCCTTTACTTCTAGTTTCTCTGCCTCTTGCTTTAAACCATGGCAATAAAAATTGAACATAAAATTCTAAATAGGGCTTTATGTAGCTATGGTATGGAAATGAGTAAACATAACTAGAAAGAGTAAAATTGGCCAGTGTTACAGGAGAAGAAAGTGATAGGAAAGCTGTGATGGGGAAGAGAAGATGATAACCATTCAGTTAGTGGGAAAGAGAGGTGAAAAGTCTAAGTTTGTGCCAACTGCTTATAAAATGTCACCACACACAATTTATTTCAACAAACATGCAGCAGTTAGAGCTTAGGTTTATGTTCCATGGTTGATGAAACAACCAGTAACAATCAGAATAAACACACAATCACAAATCGCCACAATTCTGACTCACGACTTCACATGGTGGCACAATTTCAGGCTATGCCAATGAGCTGGTAAACAGCGGTCATTATTTTGATATGGATGGTAGACCTATGATACATTTTAAAAAATGCTTCCTTCTGTAACAAAACTAAAGACTTAGGAGATAATGTAAGCTTCCATTTAAAGAAAAACGGGTTTTGACCTAAAGTTGGAATGTACCTAAAAAGAAATAAGTGTTGAGGTTTTAAGTAAAAAATTACAACCCTTTTAATTAATAAGGATCAGTTTAATTTTATCTCAAATACCTCCTAGACCTATGTCATTCTTTTCAAGGTGGAATGGCAAATAAACATCTTACAAGTCATCACTTAACTATTATTCTAACTTATCCTTTTTCCCTATGTAATTATAATGGTATTATGTGCTTCAAATTATAGTTAATTATTTCAGTATTTATAAGCTTTTCAAGAGTTTGGAAACTTAGCCATGTTTTTATATCTAAAAAAAAATGGTGATTTAATACAGGCAGGGTACTGAGAGGAGGACTAGCCACGCAGAAGTTCTGGGCCATTGTTGAGCAATTTGATGTGGGTATGCTGCTGCACTCTTAAGGCTGAATCAGTATTCATCATTCCCTCTAGTTTCTATGCTAGCCTTCACCAGTCTCTTTCAGCTCCTAAAACCACTCACCCTCAGA